TAATCAAATCTTATCGTCGCACAGTAAATAAATTTATAGGACAATGAACACGCGCAGTTGGTTAAAGTATAACAAACATGTAAAAGTAAACGCTCTATCAATGTATTTAATTTATTATTTAGACTTATTGTGATCGTACACAAGAATACTTTTGATTATGAACATTCTTAATACTAATATATTCAAAAAATACGACTGGCCTTATAGTATGTTGTAAATTAAAACACATTTCTTACATTGCCTTGTGTTTGTATCGCTAATTATAATTCCGATGATTTACCAAAATGGTTAAACCAAAACAGTACATTCAGTAATTTCAGCGGAAATAACTACAATTAACACCAAGGGGAAATCCTAATATAAACGTCGGTTGAATGAATTTACGTATGCGTCTCTGAACCATCGGTTTCCTTAATATGCGGTCACTTAAATATACACTAGCTCGAAATACGGTATTGTACCTTAGGCTGAATTTTTTTTTTCGGAGAAAATTCTCCTTTACTTTTCTTGAACAATTTTATCAAGAAATACTGAGCAGAATTTCAAAATTTTTTGAATAACTTTGTGAATCTAAACCATACTCTAATCGACCTGCAGACACACAAAAAATTTCATTAAAATCGGTCCAGCCGTTTGGGAGTAGTTATTATATACGTAACAAATTCTCTAAATCTAACCTAAAACACGTTTTAGCAGAACCATAAAAATTTTACGATACGCAAACCAATCGCCCCATTCATGACATTTCTTAATTATTTGGGTTTACCTTATACGGATGATTTGAAAGTGAACTAATCATACAAAATTGGACATAATATGCTTAGAACATATTCGTAGGAGTAACAGAAGCATGTTGTGATAATCAAAACTAAGGATATAAATGTAAAAAGTGAGACAAATCTGCCAAAAAATACACTTATCGATACGAGAGACATTCGGTTTACTGGTCAGTGAAAATTGTAAATTATCATTTAGAAGTCTTGACAGTAAAGGATTCTTCGTGCAATATGCATACGACCCCGTGGTTCAGTTTAATTATATTTCTAATATATATAGAAGAGAAACTTTCAAGGCATTTGAAGATCAATTTCGAGATATAAACATGGTCCGAAGCGTAACTACAACACTTTACTACAACATTACTCTTCGGAGTATGTTCGTCTCTTATATGTAGCTCTCTGAAGGCTACAACATCCAACTGTTTCCAACACTTTGACCGATATTAACATATTAAGCGTCATTTAACCCGTGTTAACTTTAGGTGTTGTCATAATATGCAAAATTTAATTGATTTCGCATACTGGACATTTGATTCGAATATCTAGTATGTCTTGCTACTTCATAAGATTGCATCACTTCGTAATGCATACGCCGACGAAAAAGAAATTCCAATTCGGAGGCCTAACAAGCTATCGCGGCCACTTTGTTAAGTTCCATCGTCGATATAAAATTAGAATTACGTTATATTACCTCAGCGCCCCCGCTCCAATGGACTGGTTTTATTACACAGTTCGAAGTGATGTACCGATGCCCGACGGGCTTACATTGTCTCTATCGATAAATTTCCTTCGTGTGCGACGATTTCGTATAAAACATCCGATTTTGCATTATAAACATTTGATGATAAGCGGACGACGCACTTTACGTAATGACCACGCCAATTGTGTTAGAATTTCTACTAAATTCGTCTCAATAATAGTATTATATCAGAATTAATCAGTGGCTGGTAGTGTTGTGTCATATTTTTATTGGGTTATCGATATAGGGCTAATTACATTGTAGGATTGGTGGTACTGCGTTACATTTTTACCTCGCTATCGATATTGTGTGTGGTGTGCGTTAGAGGTTGGAGCGGACGCGCCGACAGATCGTCCGCCCACGCCTGGCGCCCGCGCAGGTGCCGCCCGCGCCTCACTTCTACCCTGCGCAGAGCAATGAAACATCAGACTCTTGAATCGCCAACTGTGATTTTTAACATTGCCATAGATAAAATACGTAACAAAAGCCCATTTTAAACTGCTATCACACACCACAATACAACTCGCTTGACATAGTATGAACTTTTTTTTTATGTGATTGATTTATCACCGTTTTATTGAGTTGGCAGAATCGGTTGGGTAGGCAAATGTAGAACTTTTTTAAGTAAATATAAAAAAATTACAATCGGTCCACAAATGAGGGAGAAATCGGTGAACATACGTAAAAAAATACATACAGTCGCCCATGCAACCTCCTCTTTTTTAGGTCGTTTAAAATGATCAGATCTTTCGCACCACGTTAGTTTAGTCTGTGGCGATAGAAAGCCTCAATGGGCTGCGGTGAATGGACAGTGGATATGTGAAATAATGCGAACCTACGCGGAATCCGGCGACAGTCGTCCCGTGGCGTCTTTCTAACCGGTACTTTATCTACACTTAGACTGTTCCTACGCACTCGGACGCTTCTTGTGTTGCCAGACATTTAGACTTATGGAGGTTTGACTGCTACATTGTCTCTTTGAACACAAGGCATTTGTTTGGTACGTTTTTTTATGTGACAAAGCGGCAAACGAGCTGGCGGTTCGCCCTGATGTTAAGTGATAACCGCCGCCCATGGACATTTGCAACATCCGTAGGGTTGCAGTTGCGTTGCCACCCTTTAATAAAGTGGGCGGCGGCTACCTAAATTACCAGACGAAACGCAATATTGTAATACTTCTACTTCACGCCGGTCTTCCGTGAGGTCGTGGTACATACCCCGGACTGCCCATTCGTGCAACAGTGAACACTGTTGCGTGGCCCTACCACAGTCTAAATTTGCGTTAACCTTTTAAAGTTCGTAACGATAAAATTGAAAGGACAACACTAGTGCCCAGTTTCCGAAAGGCCAATCAAAGCAGCAATCACACATAACACTATGTCAAAAATGATCAGCTGTTAATCTCTTGATAAACTGCCTTGGGTTTCTGGAAGGTTTGTTCAAGAAAAATTAGCTAATCACTGTATAACCAATGATAATGAATGAAATGAATGATTTATTTCAACTAACTCTTTCTATTGTATAGCTGTCCCTTTTTAAACAAAACTTAAATTAACGTCACTATCCAGTCCTACCGCCGTGTGATTGCCAACGTAAAAATTCGAGCTATAATAAAATTTAATTTATATAAATACATGCAAAATGTCAAAAAAAAACTTTACAAAACTTTACGACTCTTAGAATGTGAAAAAATGAACTATTATCCATAATAAACAAGTAAGTATTATAAAAAGAAAGAATCCATATTGTTTATTAACTTTTTAATTGCATTTTGTATTTTTTCTAATCACATGATATGTTCGCATAATAATAAATAATAAATAGGTAATAGAACACATGAATGTCCTAACAATGTATTAGGGAATTATGTTTATTTTTAATAAAAACTAAGATTTTTGATAAATAACATTTTTAACCAACGATTGTTCGTCCAAATTGACAGATTACTTAATAAAACTTTTGACAGCTCGTTGACCATCGAAAAACGCTTTCAGAAACTCGATTTTCTGTTGATTGTCCGTTAATCAGTGACTAATTGCAAATCAAAATCAATGTTGTTTAAGACGTTCTAGCAACTCAGATCATGTTAAACAACGATTGACAAGAGATTTATCGTAAATTAAAATTGATTGCGCTTTCGGAAACTAGGTGTAGGCCCCTGCTAACCACATCAGTAATTAATATCCTGTATTTGTCATAACGTTTTCTTAATGGTAAATTTACAGGGTATATAAGTTGAATTAATTATACATTAAATCCTAACATCGCTCTTTATATAATAATAACTTATTTTTTAAGCATTTATCAAGATAATAAATTGCTGTTTTTGAGATTACCAAGATCGTCTCCTTTCATATAACCGAATGTAATAAAGTTCGGCCTAAAGGATCGAAAAACTCGTTGATTATTTATAAGCGTCTATTATTATATTTATTATTTATTATTATAATAGTAACATTACTAACATTGTTCCTGTTTTTCTCATATTTTCTTTTCTTGCTTAGTTATCCTTTTTTACTCGAAGTGTAACCTATATGTATATGCTAATTTCCAAATATGTAAGATAAATTGTTTTCAAAATTTAGCGAAAAGTTTTATGTTGTATTGCTCACTTAATAAATAAATAAAAAAAACAATTCAAAATATCTCTAAAGAGCACTAACTTCAAACAGCGTAGTATAATGATCTATCGTTTTTTTACGCTATAATTAATACGACTCACAAAGGATCATCCGTAAACGATGTTACAAAAGAAGCCGAACATGAAAACATTTGATAGTATCTCATGTCTTACGCCCACATATCACAATTCAATGGACGCGTTTTTTTACTAACAACAACGCACTGATATTATGTCATGTCTAGTCATGTAATTTTATTAAACTGTGTTGCCATGGTGCCAGTTTTCATTGATTAACGAGCTTGGATCGAACGTTTAGTAATAACTGGCTCTCAAGTGTGGTCCTTTTTTAAATAAAGCCAATTTTTTTTTATTATTTTTATCTAGCAAGCTTAGAAAAATTTTACTTATTTCAGATGATGCGAGGAACCACCTCTTTTATAAATCACATTTTGGTTTATTGTGATAAAATGGTCTTTCCACTTTGACTTGATTTTTTTTTGCATATGTAGACAATATTTGACTGTAATTTAAATGTCTTATTTGAATATCCTCTTAAAAATAATACTAAATTGGCTTAAATATCGCTTAACGTCGTTGCTTTTTTCAAAAGCTAGAGTTCTATCTTACCAAATTTTCCAATGGTTTTAAAGTTTTTTATGGCATAATACTCATATAAGGCTGAGCATAAAATATATATTTCATTATTTTATTTGTACATTTCATGTGATTACAACGTAAGTTTAATGAATGATGTTAAGTAAGGTCCGAAATGATGGTACTATGTTACGAGGGTATAAAAATGACTACGTTTTTTATGAATCCTTGTATGAACCATCCTCTCTTTTGTTTCAGATCCGCAATGGTCCTCCGAAATCTTCTGGTTTTGGCGATAAGCCTCGCCGGGGCTATAGCCTTTATCCCCCATGGTTCTATTGGGGAAAAGGTAAGGATGATTATATATTAGATTACAGGAACAGGTCTGCGATTATTAACTCAACCCAATTTATATGAAAAAATAAAATCTTTTGAAGCTGGATTGATTTTGACAAATTAAATTGTTTCTGCCCTTGTCACTTTTACTTTTCTTAAATCCATATTAACTAGTTTTTTACATTCACATTAATAGTTTTAGACAAACTGTTTCAACTTCCAATAGTGAACTGATAAACTAAAAGCATGTAGTTTACGCCTTCAACCTATTCTACGCAGACGTAGTCGCGGGCAGCATTTAGTGTATAATACATTGCACCCGTGCGAAGCCAGCCACTAGTAGATGAATGAATTGTTATTACTGTCCAACAACGGACTTTCGATACGATCGTTGCCGACAGGAGTCCATAATAACCGAAGCTTTGCTTCTTGAGGTAGTGGAGCGTATGGGCAAGGACTTTAACGAGGCCGCGTCGCCGTATGAATTGTTATTGTCATTACTATCCAACAAGGGACTCATCAAAGGATTGTTGCCAACAGAAGCCCATAATAACCGAAGCTTTGCTTCGTGAGGTAGTGGAGCGTATGTGCAAGGACTTTGAGGCCGCGTCGCCGTATGAATTGTTATTGTCATTACTATCCAACAAGGGACTCATCAAACGATCGTTGCCAACAGGAGCCCATAATAACCGAAGCTTTGCTTCGTGAGGTAGTGGAGCGTATGGGCAAGGATTTCAACGAGGCCGCTTCCCCGTTCCTCGGGTTCCCGCCTGCCGACCGCCAGCTCGCGATGATGGCGCGCGCCAGCAAGGCACTGGAGCACGAGCAGCTGGACTACGACTCGTTGATAGACGGCAACCCCAGCCCCAGCCTGCGCGACCAAGAGTACCTGCAGCACAGGTAGGAAACCCGCAAACTAAAATATAACTAAAAAATATACTAATAAATGGATAGCCGGTTTATTTTTTCGGTTATGCTGCGAAAACTACTGAACCGACCGGAAACTTATACCAGAAGATGCAGCGTGTTTTAGACAAAGTTAAATATCAGCCTATACATGCCCCACTGCTGAGCAAAGGCCTCCTCTGTACAGAGGGTATCAGGGCATAGTCCACCACGCGGCCCCACTGCGGATTGGCGGACTTCACATATCTTATAAATATTTTTTTTAATATTATTATTTCGAAAATATGCAGGTTTCCTCACGATCTCTTCCTACACCACTGAACACGTGATAATTCGGCACTTAAAATTAACAATTTCGTTGGTGCCGGCACCGGGCATCGAACTCAGATTGCTCGAGTATATTGAATTAAAGGCGAGCGTCCGGACACTGAGCTATCACGGCTCGGAAGTTTTAGACAAGGTTTTAGTATATAAAGTGCACGGGCGAAGTGCTTGTACTGAAAAAAACCTAAATACTAGAAATAAGGACGAACTAACTACGCCATTGTTTCGTCTACAAAAAGTATATAGGTCGTTCATGGGGCAAAGTGTGCGCATGTCTGTCGCTTGATCATTTTAAACGCAAATTAAAAGTAAAGTTTTGACTAAAGCATATTAAACCATTGCAGAATATCTCGACGACGCAAATGTGTAAAGCTTATACTGTTTATAAATTAGTGTATTTGTAGATAAAAACTGTCGGCGCAGCGGAATTCGAAGTTGCTTCTTCTGGTTTCGCGTTTTCTTTTCATATAAAAGTTTGGTGTTCACGAAACTGAAAAACTAGCTGATGGATTGACTTGATATTTCTTCACAACATTGCTATTGAACAGGAGAGTGTTATTATTCCGAAGTTCCGATGGAAAAAAAAATATGTGGCTTTTTGGCGAAGCGTGGCCGGATTCGGCTAGTCTGAGCAAATAAAAACAACGAGTTTGATTCGAGTGGACTGGGCGTTTTGTTCAGCTCGTTGTGGGGCCATCAGTACGTAACCGGCGGTGCAGGAGAGGGTGAACAGCACCTCCAGCCCTCCGGTCTGCTCCCCAACCGTCAGATGATCAAGACGGACGCAGTGCTGCCGGCCTACTGCAACCCGCCGAACCCTTGCCCCTTTGGATACACCGGTGAGAACGAACGGCGTTTGCAAAAGCGCCATATATAAAGTAGGGCCATGCAACAGCTTCTGCTTACGCGAATGGGCAGTCTCGTCCGGGGAAGTACCACGACCACACAGAACACCACCAATGGTAGTATTATACTTTCGCATTTCGTCTGGTGTGTGAGGTAGCTGGGGTATTTTTTAATTGTTAGCAAAGCATCTGCAAACTGTGAGGTGAAGTTGAAGTCGGTTTTGTTTTTTATTCATAAAGATCAACCAAACAATAAAACGCGTCACCACTGGCAAAGCTAGTAATGGAATGCGCTTCGTTTCCCCATTTAGAAGACCAGGGCTGTATCATCGAGTTCGAGAACACGGCCGCCTTCAGCCGCGAATACCAGCTGGCGCAGCGCTGCATGTGCGATGGGGAGCACATGTTCAGCTGTCCCCCCGACAGCTCCTCAGAGCTGGAGCTGCGTTTCCCCGACCACCACAAGAACCTGGTCGCGAAGAAGTATAAGCCCGATGTGAGTAATTAATCTGCCTTTTACATATAATATACAAATAAAAGGAGCTCAGAAACAGATTACTTTGATGTAGGGTCAGACTTAGTAAGCAATTGTATTGATATTTCAGAGGGGGAATCCTTACCTGATGGGGGAGCGCCTGCCGATAGCGGCCAAAAAAGGCTTCGATGTCCACGTGTTTTAAATATTTGATGTCTGTTTAGATTATGTGTCTATCTATAATAGAGTCGTTCTGTACAATGAGGATTTAACAACATTCTCTTCGTAATTTTGACTGTTTTAATCTTTTACCTATACAAGTAGAAACCATTGCAACCTCAATAGTGTCTGTGTTAGAATAGGTGGAAAGTGATGGTATGGGCACAAAAGGGATAACATCTTGTGAGACGGTTCACTTTTCTGGTATTATGATTTGTGCGACGTTCTACTAAGTTACCGTTGCTTACTATAAGACTAGTCATAAGTAAGGGAAATTGTACATATAGAAAAGAAAAATAATGAACTAACCACACACTTAATAGTATTTAAGCCGCGCGCGAGAGCTGACGACGTACGTCTATATTTGTTAGGAACGATATAAATGTAAGTAGTAAGTAATTTACTTCTTATTGTTATGTTTTTTTATTTGTTCAGAAAAATCATATGCCAAATAGAGCATTGTATAATTAACAGAAATAACACGGAACCTACGGTGACTTACCACGTTGCACTTTCGTCAAGACCGTATGGGGTACATATTTAAGGCAAGAACCGCGATCTGATAGGGATTGAATAAAAGCCTATTAACATTCTTCAACAGGTGGAACAAAGAATCTATTATTTAACAACTACTACAAGATCTTACACAGTGACCCCATACCATGTCCAGTTCAGAAAGTAAACATATGTTTACCATAAGCGAATACAAATGCACTTAAAAAAATAGTTACCTCATGATTGTGTCGTATTTTATTTATTATTATTTCTTTATTATAAGTTATTCTATTTTCTTTGTATTATTCGAATTAAATGATTTTATTTAATTTCTAATGTTTCGGATTCCAAAAAAATTGAACACTGAAGCTGTGAATTTTGTTAGTTGTAAATAGTTTATTTACTCGTTGTCTTAGTTCATTTACCTAGAATAACTCCTAGTGTAACACATAGGCTAAGAAAAATATTATTTTTATAAAAAAACACAAAATGCAAAAATTATATCGTATATGTGTATTTATTTATATATTAACATATAATAACTATAATAATAAGGGAATAAAAATAATTTTAGGAAATATTTATTGTCGATATTCAGAATACATTTCCAAATTAAGAGCATTGAAAATTGACACCAACACCGATCCAATAGCAAATATTACGTCGTTTACCATGATAGAAGGATAAAATTGAAATAAAGTCCTACACAATACTCACATACGATAAATTATTGATTCAATGAAATTATGACCACCAAATTAGCATTACTTGAATGAAAAACTCAATACGTCGAATCAACATCTAAACAATGCAAGAGTAACTTCAAAATATAAACCGCACTGACTGCTGTCCCTAAATTTTTGATGATTTTGTTTAATCTGTCTCATACTATACAACTTTTCTTCTTGTAGTCTTTTAGCTGTATTCTCTCTAACTTTCTTCTATTCGTTCTTGTTATCTTTCTAAACATTATAACATCGAAATAAGGGACACTGTCTGTCGATTTTGTTTTTGAATATAAATTAACCTCTTTGGAAAAACCTTGCGATGGTTAATAACATCAGCAACTATCTGTTAACAGCTTATCGGTAACAAAGTCATATCGGACTTCTTTAGGTTGACAAGATCTATGAAGTCGTACACATTTGAGATCAAACAACATTTGCTTGTTCTATCAGCCCTTTTCTAGTGAGTTAGTATTTGAGCAAACAACGGATCTGACACCAGACGAATAATTTGTAGGGCCTAATACCACAGGCGACCCGTGATTCGGCTCTTATCATCCATAAGGCCATGGGAGGTGGTGGGACGACAATAACACCACGTCTTAAAGTCATTCGATCAGGAGCCATAAGATTCAAAAATTTTGATTCAATTGTGCCTTAAACATCACTTAACCTAATCGAATTTGCCTGGGAAAGTTATTTATTTCTAGTATATTTATCTCTGATTGCGTTTTGATTTCATGACTATGTCGATTTCAACCTTAATAAAGTTTTAGCGAACCAGTTTAAAATGTTTACATACCTTTTGTTTAAGAAGTAATATTTACTTATTTAATAAGAAGTATTTATTTTTCGTTTTTATCTCGATTTTATTCAGGCATATCACACGAATTACCGCAAATGATCAGTATTAATTCAGTAGATCCGTCTGCTCTCGACATAAGAAAATATTCTGAGTCGGCAATAAATTTTATCCAAGCGTGATTTGCCTCGAAGTGCGCAAAAGGTCTGATATAGCAAGCTGCATTAAAGAGTAGTATGTAAATATCGACATAATTATTGGTAAGTTAAAATTAATCAGCGTATCTGAAGCACGAAAGTATGTTAATCGTAAATGTATCATTTAAAGTGGTGAGAAAGTATGGTTCAAATATTTTAGAAAAAAAAACTTAGGATAATTAACTTTAGTTTTGAAATTAATGTAATTTACTTTAGCAATTTAAGAGTAATGCAGACATACGATTTTAAAAGGATTTTAGTGTAAATATTAAGGAAACTTCACACAATTGAATATCAAAGAATTAGATAGTTTTAAGTAATGTACGCGTGCCAGAATTGAATAGGTGTATTATATTAATAATTATTAGATTTGTTTTTGAACGGCTATCGTTTTATTAGTATTTTAATTATATTTCTTTTATCGCGCGTTCTCTATTACGTACGTATTTTTAAAATTCGTTGATTGTTCAATTTTAAAATATATTTCAAGATTTAGTTTGTGTAATTTAGGTATCTTTTCAACAACATTGTCGATCAATTAAGATACTCATAGATATTTTATGGATATTTCATATTAATATATAATATGGATAACATCAGTGGGAAATTTTGCCGTCAGTGGAAATAATAACATATATATAACGAATATATTATATGTATTAATATATGTCTATATCTATATCAGTGAGGGAGTAAGTAAATTCGCTAAAGTTCGCATTGAGAGGATTATTACATGCCTTTTTAAAGTGCCATGCCCTTTCACCTGTCATTGGTTGGACATTCTTACTATCGCCACACACACACCGCGGCACAAAAAATACGGTATTCAGCTTTGGCATATTACCTTTCTCTCAAATTGATAATGATTTATGGGTGTGTTTTTATAATTAATGACCATTAATTAGTTGTATTTTTATTTATTTCGAATATTCTCAGTCATAAATTTGTTTTACTTTTTTCCCCAAATAGTGTTATGTAAATTCATATAAGTAGATTTGTATATATACACACACTAATGACTCAAAGATGATCTATATTAGGATTATTTAGTTATGTAAGGGTATACCAATCAAGGGTCTATTTATAATTTGGTGATAAGATATATAACGAGGCTTAAATGTTTCTTATAGGACTAGGCTAGATTTACTACAGATTTTTGGTTCATATTTTAATACAGAATTCTAATTTTGGTAAATAAATGGATTTTCTTTCTTCCTAATTATGTAGGTATTTTCTTTGTTATATGAAATCCAAGCCATATATCAAAAACTGTTGTAACTGTTGGCTGTGTTCGTTCAAACTAAAGGAAAAACCTGATTTTGGAAAACTCTGTAATAAAAATGTGGCTAGTTTTATCTCTTGCCATTCCATTCCATGCCATAGATTGAAGGAAAGCCAGGATGCGTTGACATTAAAGCGGACATAACATCCACAACCAATAAAAATCCAAAATTGTCGGTTAAAATAGTGTTACAAGCCAAATGACAAATCCATCTAGGCCATTATATCTGTACATTATGCATCTCAAACAAATTCTCGATACCATAGTACCTAGAAAGACCATCTGATCCCAAAATTTCGTACAGAAAGCGACAATGTCTATCTCGAAATTAGCCCAGCACATTACACTATGTATATTTCATTCCCTATTATCTATTCTTAAAATCTTCTTACATTTCCGTGACATCCTCTTTAATCCTTTGGAGTATCTATCGTATATCATTCTTCTCTCGTCTTCTCTCCATTCTTCCATTCTCTCGGCGTATTCTGGGCGGAAAGTTAAGGGTGAATTCAGCAATAATCTTTGAGCTTTATGAAATCGCATGTGTTATACCAAATGGGCCGTGATTGCTCATTGTCTGGGCGCTCACTCTTTCCATATACTCTAGCAACCTGAGTTCAATCCCCTGTGTCTAACTCAACGAAATTGTCAATTTTAAATGCTGACTTGTCAAGCGTTAAGGGAGTGTCGAGAATTCGTGGATCGATGTTCACCTTGCACTTGGCTGGCTGTACACACCACCTGTAATGTACATGCACACTTTGGAATGCCACTTGTCGGCAAATCTATGTTTCTTGCAATACCAAAGAGTTTCTAGTCAAGCCAGCGCGATTCCGCAGTTACAGTTTCACTTAGCCACGTTAAATTATTCTTTAGCGTCCTTAATTATATCTTAAATTTGATTTAATTGATTTATTTCTTTTTGATATATGGTTGCTTTAAACTAGTTTTAAGGTTAAGGGAAATTGTACATATAAAAAAAGAATGAAATATAAGCAAGTCAATATATAGAAAAATATTCTAAAATAGAAGTCAGTATCAAAGAATAGGGTGTTATTAGAATAAGGTTTTTAAGGTTAAGTAGTAACTTATTATTAAGTAAAATATAAATTAGTTCGATAAAACCCACGTACTTAATTAAAGCTAACGTCTTCCGTATAATATATTTTTATATATAAATAGAAATATATATCTGACATAAATTATATATGTACGTATATATTTTTGGTCGCACATCATTGCATACCGTTCACTTCCCCCAAACTATTATTACCCCCTTTTTTGCCATGAAATATTTAAAATTTGGTTGGTGGTTGAATAAGAGAAAATTCATTTTAATCGTTAATATAAAACCTTTACATTAAGCTTATACGATCTTTACTCGGTTTAAAGCGTAAATAAACATTCATAGTACTTTTCGTAATTTTTACCAATGAACCTGTTTATAACGTACCGTCAACAATAATCAGAATTCAAAGATTT